GTTCTCCCTTCAGTTTCCTCGGCTGAGAATGGTAAGAACACTCATCAAGAGGCCAATAAGACCCTTACGAAACGGAGTTATAGCAAAATAACCAAGGTTAAATCAAATACCTGAGAATCTGCAGACCCCATCGTACAGAAACGGCTATATTTTTCTCGCCGGCCATTTCAATATCAGACATTCTTTCTATGGGGAAACAGTAACGTCGAGCAGAGACAAGGATTTTGTTAATTCAATGAGTTCTAGCAGTTTTCGCTGCCTTAATAACGCGAATTGACTTTCCTTTTTTTCAGCTAATCGCCCTTATCTTCACCAACTCATCAATTTTCTTTTGCAATTGGCGTATTGAAAAATATCTTTCCTTTAACAGCCATCATTTGTCCATTAAATTTGATATTCGTAATAGCAGTGTCCGCAGGCCTTTGGTGCTCAAAATCCAATCATTCCAAGCCGAACTTAAAGCAGCAACCACGAATTTCTATGACGTCAGTTCTTTTTCGTCAAAACTTAGTGGAATTTCCACCTTGCTGCACTATACCGCAGACTTAACGCTGACAGAAAAAAAGTCAACAAGTATGCCTTCCCTGTCAATTTCAAAGAATATGTCCAGCCACAGAAAGTGTGGAAGGCTGCAGTAAGAAAGGCAAAAAGAAGGTACAATGCCCGAACTATAAATGAACTCTGCATTGAAGGTAACTTTGAACATATTTGGAACTTCATTAAGGGTTAAGATCCCGATCTACTTGTTTTCTCATCTGAACAAACGCTGCAGGACAATAAAAATTATCTAGACCTCCAAAAAAATCATATACTTCATAACTATCACGCCTCTCTCTTATGACGATTTTTCAAGGGTTTTGCATTCGAAAAAGAAACCCTCTGCTGCCGCTTGCGACGGCGTCAAACACGACATGGTTAAAGCCCTTTCTGTTCAAAGTCGACTAGCCTTGCTTGAGGCCATTATTATCTTGGACAACAAACACCTTCCCTGAAGAGTGCAGGTGCATTAAGATTATTCCGGTACTGAAGCCTGGCAAAAGTCACGATGATATCAATAACTTCAGACAGGTTGCCCTGATTTCAGTGCTACTTAAAATCACTAATTTGATGGTTACAGAAAGACACGTTGTCTTCCTTAATGCCCACATTATAAAATCGTCTCGTTCTTTCGCATATCAAAAACAAAAATCGACCAACAAGTACTTTAATGAACTCTCCATGCTAATAAAGAGTGAAAGAAGAGCACACAGGAAGGCCATTTCGCTGTCCCTTGACATAAGTCAAGGTTTTGATTGTGTCAACCTCAAGACAACAGAAAAGACATTGATGCAGTTTATTATTCCCCTTCCTTTAATTTCTTATCGAACGGCGTTCTGATCTTGGGGCTTAAATCAGTTGCCATGCAAGGTGGTTTGCCTCAATGTAGCTACTTAAGCCCCTTACACTTCAATCGGTTTACGGCCTATTTGCACCAGCTATAAGTTTGAAAAAAGTCACCTCGTCCAATATGCTGATGACTTTCTACTGGTTTCCGCGAGAGTATCCTTTGACCATGGCGTCAAAACACTCTTTTTGAAAGCAGGCCTCTTTTTCGAAGAATATGCAAAACTAAATCTCTGTTTTAATCCGAGCAAGACCAACGCAATCTATTTTGCAAAGGTATCAAACAAAACTATTAATCTTTTTATCAGTAGCATCAAAGTACACCAATGCAAGCCCTTCCTTTTTCTTGGAACTTTCATTAATGCCAGCTTAACGTTTGGCAATCGTTGCCAATCGTTGCGGGAAGATGCCGTCAAAAATTGTCCGTAAAACTCTAATGTCATCAAGCTACTTACTTCTAAACATGCTGGCTTACCCCCATGAAAAGCCCTTTTGATACACAAGTCCCTTGTGCAATCGAAAATTTAATTTTCACTTCCTCTGCTACCTGTAACCTTCTTGCCTATCTAGCTAAAAAAATGCAGTCCTTTGAAAATAGACATTTGAGGCTATGCTCTAGTCTCACTTCCTCAACCCCCTCCCACATTTTGCGAGATATATCTGGTGTATCAACAGTATAGGAAAGACCTCTGCTACTAACTGCTAATCAAGCTAAAAGCACTGAGGCCCTCTTTGTTTTGCAAAGTTGCGGCTGTGTATAATGGCCCATGTAGCTACATTTTTTGTTATCGCAAATTCAGGCACATTTTCAGATAATTAAACTGCTTTCCTGTCTGGAACTCTGTCGGCAACCAATGTCGTATGGATCTCAGCAACTTAGCTTCGCTCAACTCTATCGAAGGAAACATTCCATCATCACCTGCAAAAGTTCTGTGTAATGTGAAGGTACAGTTTTACCGCAACAATTGCTTCGAATGTGCCACAGACGGCTCTGTAGCTCCAGAAGTATCCAATTTTGCTGTTTTGAAATATCGCCTTGACGCGATCTCCACAGCCAAAATCCTTGATAATCTATCCTTCCCCCTTATTGGATTATTGGCCATTAAACTGGCAGTCAATCTACCTGTATCGAATGGGTGGGTACAAAAAGATTGTCATTTTCTCGAACATTAGATCTGCCCCACTCCGCATTAAAAAGCAAGACCCTGCAACTCAACATGTCTATGATATCCATGGCATGCTGAATAACCCATTCATTGAGCACTGCCATCCTGTCTGGGTTCCTGGTCATTGCGGTTTCTGTCTGAACGAAAAAGTTGACGTCTATGCACGTAAAGCTCAATTTGATGATGAAATCATATCTACGAAATAGCCGCCGAAGGAGGTTTTGTGTTCCATTCGATATACCATCGCCAGCGAACTTATTGAGGCATACATAAACATCCTAAGAGGAACACCGAATCGTCTTTTCTACAAAGTATTTTTACCCGTGTGCTTTAAATCCCTCCCGGACTCTCTTTTCTCGTCTTGGGAGATTAAAGTCCTCTACAGACTTATGACCAATCATACCTATGACGAAAGCTATCTGAAAATGATCTATCCACTTGACAGTGCGTTGAACCTATGGGTTGATCTTCTTGATCACAATGCAAATATTGTAGGACGGAGCAAACACCCAAAAGTTAACTGATTGCAGTCATTTCACGACTTCCAGCGCCTAAAGTTCAATTGGAAACGTAACGTAATGCATTGTACTTAATATAAATATCAATGAACGTACTCGCGCAGATGTGAAATAAAATCTTTTAGTTTTTAATTATGTATCTATAACACGTTTCGTTCTACGTTTTCTACGCACAGGATCCAATGAACGTGCGGGATCGTTTATTTTATAAGAGCTACTTTGAGATATGTTTTATTCAAGTTGTATTATTTTCCAAGATAGTTTGTGATATTTAGAGTTTATTTTCTTTTTTTTTTGATAGTAATGTGTTATGTTTTCTTTTCTTATTCCAGGTAAATGCAACGCACTTTGCAGTGTTGCAGAGTTTATTTTCTCTTTTTTTGGTCGTAATGTGTTATGTTTTCTTTTCTTATTCCAGGTCAATGCAACGCACTTTGCAGTGTTTCGTCGAATTAATAAACGGTTTACTTTTTCCTTAGCTTGTAAGCATGTACACATCTTTGTTTAAGAATCCTCGTTATTGTCTAATTAATATTGAAGACCATTTGACCGAGTGTGCTAAGGTAATTCCAACAGAAAATGATATAATGTACTTTCTTCTAGCTTTGCATACGATAGCATCTTTTTATATTTTATTATTAAACCTTTTCTTTTTTGTATAGCTGTGGTCATACCGAGCTTTCGCGAATGTTTAGAATTTTATGAAATATTTCAGGACTGTGAAAATTTTATATGTCAACCGCAGTGCAATTAATAGGTATTTAAAATGTATGCTTTAGCTCTTTATTCAAGGACTTGTAACAAAGTATATTTTTCAGTTTTTATGCAGGAGGATCTAAAAGTAAAAGTCAACTTGGTAAATATCTGCACTAACTAGGTCAATAGATCTTTGCACCCCAGGTAGCAAAGACGCCAAGCTTTTGAGTTTTAAATGGCATCAACAACTTATACTCTTTAACAACATTAATACTCTATTGGTCCAATTCAAATCGTTATTAGCATGCAAAGCTTACGGGTCTTTCATTAAAATTTCGGACTTGGCTTGCAAGAACATTGCCAAAGAATTGCGACCTAATATTATCCGTATTAGTTCCAGGTCGATTAGTCAGAATGAGTGTTTTTGGTGCATTCGACGTATGGCTAAACCTACTCATGTTTCGCAGCCCATTAAATATACGAAGACACGAATAAATGTAAAGCATTTTTTCAATTTCTATGCTGAAGTAAAAAATATATGAGTAAAACTGTTTTTTTTGCACAAAAAAATAAATAACAAAAAACAAGGATTCTTAAAAATAAGATTGTGTTTTTATATGCGATTCGTTACGAAATTTTTAAGTGTCTTAAGTGACTTTTTTGAATATTTTCGATAAAAGTGTTGCATTGAGTTGACGTGTTTTTCCACCTGAAAATCGAGATCAACAATTAAGAATAAAGCATATCGTTTGCTAAAACGAAACAATTCAGCCAGTTGCAATTGATATTCTTAAGGATATTGACAGAACAAGCTGTTAATTCGCCCCATGACTTTTGTTTTACGTTTACCTTATTTGAGAACATGAAATGTTTTCATCACTTAGAGAACTAAAGCTGGCGAAGACGCACTTCTTTTCGTAGGCGGAACGCTGTTCGAAGGACCTTTACTAAATTCAAATTAATTCCCGATAGAAGAAAGACCTTATTAAATAAGTTTGGCAAGTTACGCTGAAATTTCAAATGAATGAGATCGTCTATGCCTATGCCAAGATTATTGTGATTTTTTATTACCTTTTTCAATCACTTTTTTTGTGGGTTGTTTTTATTATAGAATAGAAAATATTAAATAAATATTAGTTCGGGGAAAAAGAAATCCATTATTTTTTCGGTAGATGGCTGCACTGATAGATTTCTCGTAAAGTATCGATCAAACAATTTCCGATACTGTACATTTACATACTGTACATTTCGCAGTAAAAAAAATTCTTTTGCTGTTTTTTGTTTGGTGCATTCAGTTGTGAGTTACAGCGTGTTAAAAATGGAAGTGAACAAAGAGAAAATTCGGTACATTTTACAGTTTTTCTTTGACAAAAGCGAAAATGCAAGCCCAGCGGCTAAAATTGTGAATGGTGTTTATGGTTCCGATACTGTAACAGCCAATTATGTGCAATTTTGGTTTCGTAGATTCCGCTCAGGAATTTTTGATGTTAAAGATGCACCTCGCACAGGTAGGCCGGTCGTCGAAAATGTCGATAAAACCGAAGAAATGATCGAAGTTGACCGGCATGTTAGCAGTCGTAACATCGCCCAGGAGCTAAAAATCGACCATAAAACAGTTTTAAACCATTTACACAAAGCTGGATTCAAAAAGAAGCTCGATGTTTGGGTGCCACACCAATTAACAGAAAAAAACATGATGGATCGAATTTCCATCTGCGAAGCCTTGGCCAAACGGAATGAGATAGACCCATTTCTTAAACGGATGGTGACTGGAGATGAGAAATGGATCACATACGATAACCCTGTGCGAAAACAATCGTGGTGCAAGAGCGGTGAAGCACCTCAAACGGTGGTCAAACCAGGACTAATGGCCAGGAAGGTTTTGCTATGCATTTGGTGGGACTGGAAGGGCCAGAATTGGCCAACAGAATTGGCCAACAGGAGAGGTGTCATGTTCCACCAGGACAACACTAGGCCACGCACATCTACATTGACTCGCCAGAAACTTCGGGAGCTTGGTTGGGAAGTTTTAATGCATCCGCCATACAGTCCGGACTTGGCACAAAGCGATTATCATCTTTTTCTTGCATTGCAAAATTTCTTTAATGATAAAAAATTGGAATCTAGGGAGGGTTGTGAAAATCGACTACTAGAGTTTTTTGCAAATAGAGACCAGGACTTCTATGAGTGAGGCATTTTGAAGTTACCTTTAAAATGGCAACAAATCATACAACAAAACGGTGCATATTTGACCCAAATCGGACAATCCGAAGCATGTTAAATAAAGTCCTGAAGTTCATATAAAAATAATGGATTTCTTTTTCCCCAAACTAATATAATGTATAACGTATAGGCTGTGTGCATTCACACAAATTGATCTAAAAATATTTTAACTTATTTCAATTAATAATACCTAGTTAATAATTGATAGTCTATTCATATATAAACATTTTTATACTCTGCCCCATTTATGATAAAAGGGTATATTAAATTTGTACAGATGTATGCAACACTCGGAATGACTTTGGATATAGCCAAATTTTATTATACCGATTGCGTCAGAAATCGAGTTTAAGTTTGTCTGTTTGTTTCCTTTTGTTCAACGTACAGTCCGAAATCTTTGTGATATTTTGATAAAATTTGATGTACCGACATGTTTTGGTCGAAGGACGAACACAATTGGAGATGAGCACTTCTCATATAACGCCTTGTTTTGAAAACTCCTTATATAAATAACTATAGATATATAAAAAAATGTATGATGCGCCGCGGCCCCTATATAGCCTTTCTTCAAAAGTGCATAAGATGAGAATGTAATCATTGAACTCTACGTTTTTTCAAACATCTTTGAATTATTATTTCTTAGAATAAATTGGCACAATTTGAGTAAATTGCGCTAATAGATCATACTCGTCATGTTTGACGTAAGGAAACGATTATAAATTCGAGAAATAAACCTAGATAGTCTGCCGCCCGATATTCGCGGTTTTAATAGCATTTTACGTATTGTTTAGAGGTTCGATTGATCGAACGAAGCCTACTAACAATTTTGATCGCATAAATCGATCTCATTGCTGAGAATAATTGTAACATAATCATGATTATTTTACTTATGCATGTGACGTAATAGCGCGGAGGCATAATGTGACATGTGGCTAAGTTGTTGAAATTATTATTACAATCGTGCTATTTCACTTACAACTATATGATGTATTTTGAAAAATTAAAATGGTTCAAGAAACCAAAAAAAGAAAATCGAGCGGTTTGGCCTTTAAGCGAATTTTAGATACCAATCATACTAGTTGTTTTTCATTAACTTGGCCATGCCACCCTCACCTTAGGTTAGTTTTGAGACAAAACTTTCGGATGGATGCACTTAATAATATTGTTCCAACCTTTTCATTACATTTTACACTAAAAATTTTATATTATAAATAATAAATCTACGAGGTCCAAATTCAGAAGGTTGATTGATTTCTTTAGCAATTTACTATTATGTACCATTTTCACCATAAAATATTCCAAGTTTGATCTTTTTACCAAATAAAGATCTAATTATCGTTGGAACAGTTGTATGACAGAAGGTTCAAAAAATTGCCCCTTCCGAATCAAATTTTTAATGACAATTTACTGGGTAAGTTTTGTCGAGAAATTTACAGTAAAAGTACACCGTCTTTGGTTCAAAGAATATTGGTGTATCAATTTGTACGCAAATGTGAAGCTTTCAAAAAGTAATTTCGAATTTCGAAAATATTATTTTTATAATATAAATATATATAAAGCTTTTGCTTATATTTTATATAGATTTTATTTTATAGGTTGATTTTTGGTAGAAAATTCGAGCATTTCAGAAATTAACGAGAAAAAGTAGCGAAGAGGGGTAAAAATCAAGTCAGAAACATAGTAAGAGAACGCGAGTAAAATTGGCTCTCTTTAATCCATACAAATTTCTGTAAAGTTTTCTTTATATTCGTCAAGAGATGTGAAAGAGACTTAATATGAAAATCAATAACAATAATTTCTTTTTTTTTGTTTCTTTTGATTTGCGAAATACTCTTAAAAATTTCTTCTGAAAAGGCGTAAAGGGAAATATGTGAAATATGAGAACATTCTCTTTATTTCATTATATCTATTAAAGCAGTATTCTTTATATATAGAGGTAGCATTTTTTATCTATAGTGATAGTATTTTATCTGCAAAGACCGTATTTTATATCTATGTATGGATTATTTTTTATCTTATGTTACTGGTACTTCAATTTGTTAGATTTTATTTTAACCCTTAACCCTTTTCTTATTGCTTTTTAGTTTCGGCAGTTAAGGTTCGCCATTTAAGTAAAAAAGGTGTCTGATTTCTCCTACTTGAAAAGAGTTCTTTAAATCAAATTGCAACTGCAAGATATATTTCGTTTCTTAAGATATTTTTTTAATTTATTTTACGAAAATATTAATTATAAATACATTTCAAATGACTTTAATAGGGAATCACTATAACAATCCTTCACTGCAAAAAAACGATGCGTGCTTAAGCTAATAATTGACTTTGCTCCCCAAACGTTATAAAATTAAAAACATTATGCCATATTTCGCCTCCCTTTAAATCTTCTTATTGCGCTCGTCACGACTGGATTTTATGGTGTGTACATGATATATGTATGTATGAGTGAGTATGAGTATGGCTAACTAAGCCAGCTTACTATAACCATATAAAGATATGCATAAATATAAATGTTTATGCCTCTACATATATATGTACATTTATGTTCACTTATATATACATATATAGACATAATATTTATATATATATATATATATATATGTATATATATACATATATATATTTCAACTCCGACTCACGTGCGAATAAACAATACAACAAAAAATCCTTGAACTTAAGAAAGCAAAAATTCGATCTTCTTTCATTTATTTTTTTTTTAAATATGCCAGTAAAGAAAAAGAGTGAGGTACAGCAAAATAACATTTCTTTGCAAAATAATAAAAAGAGAAGAAAGAAGGGATAAAAATACATGAATTATTAAGTAACCCTAAAAAAAAAAAAAAAAAGAAATAATTAACCAGTAAATGTTTAAAAAGATTTGAAATAATTTCATTGCATATTAAATAATTAAAGCAGCAGAGAAAAATCAATAAAACACGATGGCGACCAGATTGTTCAACGAATTGTAATTTACGGTCTTTCTTATAGTGTAAAAATCAGTTTACAGCAAGTAATACTAAATTTGTGTTTGTAAAAGATAAAATGTTTTATAGTCGTCTGGTGTTACTCTATGATATTTTATAAAAATTTATCTCCTTTGGTTTTTAAATTTTTGGTAAATAAATGAGAAACAAGCGATAAAGAATGAGAGAGAAATTTGTGTAAATTAAATGAATTCATCGTCAATTGAATAAAATTAAAGGAAAATCGATTTCTGTTCATGAAAAATCAGCAAATTGTGCCCTGTTTTTGATTTTCTAACAGACACTGGAACGAACTCATAATTCTCATGGATACATGTGTATAAGCACATGGGTGTTTTACACAACGTGCTCTAAAAGTTGTACTTTTAGGTATAAATAATAATCATTGAACCATTTTTGTACGTATGCTTATGAAGTATGAATGCAAATGTATATGTTGGCGTAAGACTTAGACGAAAACACAACATCAATAACAGCAAAGCTAATGTAATGTAAGGCCTCGTTTCATTTTCTCGCCTCTTTTGGAAATTTGAAATTAAATGTTGTTAAAATTTATTTATTAGGCTTACCCTTGGAGCTCTTCGTAAAGATAATTTCATTATGTCTTTAACCTAAAAAGAATGCCCAGCATGAGCTCTCAAGAAAGAACGAAAAATCCGAATTAATACATTCATTCATACATATCCTGGTTTGGGTGTTAGGTCATCATCAATGCATTTGTTTGTTTAAAAAAAAAAAGAAAAGAAGAACGTTTTGGTTCTTCAAAGCAGATAAGCTCTGAGCTCGCTGTTGCTCATACAGTTATTTATGAACATAAGTAATGAGATATTGAGTTGAAGTTTTATAAACAAATTATGAGTAAATTGAGTGATTGAGAGCTATATACACTTTAAGCAATATCTTGGATACTCGTCGCTTATGGTAAATATAAGCAAATCGATTAGAGAGCTTATTTGTCAATTGTGCATCCATCTCTGGACGGATTCGGACCAATTCTATTCATAAATTTTTTGTATAGAACTGATAAACAGTTATAAACAATTTAAGTGTAATAACTGCTGTAACATTTTAATCCCTTAAATATATTCTAATTGTTAAATATTTCTAAAAGGAGATTAAACACGCTTTCGGACGATATCCATATCCCATATATATATATATATAAATAGATAAGGTAAGATGTGTCAGCGTCATCGTTGGCCATTAAGAACTACTTTTGCACTCAATTGTCAAATGGCCAAATGGCTCTGACAAACAAATGTAGAAAATTTTGCGCCGTCAATTTATTCTCTTTTACAAACAAACTGTAAAAATCTTCTAAATATTATAGTGTCATTTGTGAAGGAATTCCGCGTAATTTTTGAATTAATCTATTCTTATTAAATAAGAATCAATATTTCGTTTTGTGAATGGGCGTTGCGATTATTAGATGTTTTAATAATAGAAGCCGAGCTGGCGGACGGACAGACATATACAATTGGCTCAGGAGTTACTATCCTAAGCAAGACTAAACGTTTATTTTTATGGCTTCGGAGACGTGCCTCTCGAATAACTTTCGAAACTATCAATGCTGGGTAACGCGTATTTGGAAAACGTCATAAAGTGCGCATGTTCACCATTAATTTCCATATTTTTTCAAATAGATTTTGCCATATCCTTCTATCCTAACGTTTGTTGCAGCAAAAGAGCAAAATTCCGCTTTTAAATTCCTTTTTTCACAATTACGAGAACGGCTTAAATTATTATAGTATTGTGTTTTGTGGAAATTAGCAAAAATCTAACAGTTACCCATTATTTTTCTTTTCCATCGTATAAATATTACGACTGTTTAAAATTAATTACATTACATACCACTTGTGTGAGAGGAAATTGAAGTATTTTTGTTTTTGTTAGTAGTGCTGCCATGTGTGTTTTCTAAAATATCTGTCTAGCATTCGATAACTTGATTGTCTTATGCCGGTTAAGGGTTGAGGGACATGCATGCGTTGTTTAATTTAAACCATAAGTCGAAGGCATGTGTCGTTTCATAAGACAGGCATTAGGGTAGGCAGAGTGTAAACGAATTTTGAATAAAAGATTTAAATTATTTTCATATTTGTTATTGAAATGCGCTCTGTTCACTGATAAATTCGATTTCTACGCTTATTTGGGATGGTTCAAAGGTTATAGAATGAATGGAGAGCTATTTTACGACCCTGTAACCCGTGTGCGGTAGTGGTTTCGAAGAAGTGCGCACGCGAACGAACATAAATAAATAAATCGATCTTCAATTGTTCACCGATTACAGTAAATATTATTTATATCGTTCCACGTTCTAATTCAAATGCAAGTTGTGTTGCGTGAATACTTTTGAAATCAATAATTTCAAGATCCAATATCTTGAACTTATTTATAGTGCAAATCAAGATTAATCTTTAAGTCAGCATAGCTATCTTGAGTCTTTTTCTGCTCACCTATGATATGAATTAATCCTATGACAATTGAAATTCAAAATCCGAAATTGAAAGAAAAACTATAAAGAAAAAACAAATCAATCAAATTCTATTTACAGTGAGTAAACATATTTTTGAATAAGTGCAACGTCAGATGAAATTTTCACGATTTTGTTAATAAGGAAAAACAAGCCGACAGAAGATAAAGAACACACAAACGAAATTTTTGTATTTTATTTAAAACTCGTTCATAAAAATTTTCAAAAACCTTTTTATAGTTTTGAAACAAAAAAAAAAAAAAGCAAAAAATAAAATAAATAAATGAAAAGGAAAATTGTAACAATTTTTGCTAAAAGCGAATCTCAGCTGGATATTGGTGGCATTTCAAGTACGAGATCTCCTGTAATCAGCATAAAGAAGCAAAAATTTGGAAACGGACTAAACGTTTAAACGACGCAAATTTTAATCAGTTGTTGTGTTGGTTTGACGAGTTATTTTTTGTTTTTATTATTAATATTTTATTATCTTCGAAAAAAAGGCCGATAAAACGCAAAGTATTTAGAATTGATATTGAGAGACAAGACAGGTTTAAGAGTGATTTAACATCTTCGAGCTGTTAAAAGCACTCTCAAAGATCTTTATAACGAAAAGTGTATACAAATTACTTGAAAGACGACAGTTAACAATATTGCGCGCTCTATCTTATTGCGCGTTAAGCGATGCATTTCTTAACATTCAACACATTAGCTGTTGTTTGTTGTTATTTCCATATATTTTTATACGAAAGGTGGAGAGATTTCTATATTTACTACACGCTTTGTAACAGTAAATGCGGACGGGATATGTCTTAATTTTTTTTAGCGATTATGAATCAAAATTTCTGAATCGATCTGCAATTATTCCTCTCTGGGAAGCGATCAGCGGAAATTCGAAAGAGATCATTTTCAATTTAGCAAAATTAGGTCTTCAATAATTTGATCCCGTAAAGAGAATAGCATTAAAAAATAAAAAAAAAAAAAAACGCGAAAGGATACTAAATTAAATTATCGACTTGAATCCTCTCGAATAATCTCACAATGAAAATTAATAGTGATTTGATAGAAAGACGTAATGACCCTCAGTAGGTGGTAGGTATCCATTATTCGTGTTAAGGTGAATATAAATTTTGAGAATTGTTTTCATATAAATTGCTTCTTTCATATTAAATGCATATATATATACATATATATATATATATACTGTTCCGTATATATGCTATTATTTGATTATTGCAAAATGGAACTTTGCTCACTCACAATGGTCGCTCTTATAAAAACGATAACAGTAAGCTTTAAGTCGGTGAAGAAGAATGAAGAAAACTTAAAATTAAAAAGTAAAGAATCACGAATTTTCAAAATATTAATATTTAAGAGATAACTAAAAGTTTATTTAACTTAAAGCGTTATGAACTTTGGTCAAATATCGCGAATAAATGGCTTTTTCGTTTTATTCAAAGCTATCGCGTAGCCTAGTAAAGAAGTAGAAGTGCGACTCGGCATAGGTAGGTGCAATTCCAATTGTGGTACCTATACTTCAATTGCTATTCGCGTGTGGTCGAGCTAAAAGGTATGCTCGACCCGATCAAGAATAAATCTCCCAGTTACACGTGATATCTCTATCGTCGCATTTGTTACTCACCGCTACCGTGTTTATACACGTATAGGAAATATTCCTTAAGGGGGGTAATATTTATAAAAAAGAAAAACAATTTTAGAGGCGCGTTTTTCCCATAATTTTACCATGAGTGAGGCCTGTTCATTTCTTCTGTTCCTGTTTTCAACAACATCTCAATAATTCTTTTTTGATGCAAATTTAATTGACTGCAAACTAGGAGCGATCGAACGATGAGTTGTGATACAATGTTTGTCATTACATCTAGATACGAGCACAGGAAATGTACAAGGCATGTCTTTAGCTTTTGTATATAATTTCCATTATCCCAAGATAGTTGAAAATGAGGACACAGGACTTACATTCTTCTTTTTCACAATAGCGTCTATATTCCAAAAGTAATTTGTATCAAAACAGTAATCAACGGATCGATGCGACCTTTCAAAATTAAAATTAAATTAGAAAAACTAGTAATTGCGACAATTGAATTTATCCCAATCCAAGACTCTTAAAACGAATACACCTCTCCTTTTTGTTGTAAGTGTTTGTCCTAAAAGTTTCCTTTAAACGGGTGCCAATCGGATATTTTTCTAGTTTCAATTATCTCGTTTATATCATCTCCGATTAAATGTAAAGAAACTGAGCCGGAAACTTTTCCAAAGCTCTGAACATATAATTTATTTATTATATCATATAGACTCGTCTGTACGTAAGCAAAAGTATGTCCGAAATATCGTTATAATTCTACGGGAATCCGAGCCTATGAACTTGACTGAAGTCGAGAAAAAATCTCAAGAAAATAGTTTTAAAAAGTGCTTTAGCTTAGTAGATCCTAAAGGACGACTTTTTCCCGCGAATTCCTTACATTATTAATAATGTAACCGATTTAATTGTAGCCACTCGCTATGCGTCATTCTCTTTTGTTTTTTCTTCTTTTATACTAGCGGCATAAATTTTAGTCGAAATCTGTGAAAAATACCGCGTAATAATAACGTTTACATTTGCTTTGATAATGTGTTTAATAAATTTTTAAATGGTAAACCAAAAAAAAGGAAAAATTTTTTTTCAATTAAAAAGAAAACATGTGGAAAAATTCCCATTAAAGTTCTATTTTGTATTAATTCGAAGGCACCGATAAATTATTTAAATACAGTACTTTCTGCTACATTGAAAACCGTACGTTATTTTCATTATTTAAACGTTTATCATTCGTAAGATTATAGGCAATGCGTAGAAACGACAACGGGATATAAAAATGTCATTGTAATTGTTGTTCAGTTTAGTGCTTTCTGCTCTAAGTGAAAATGTGTTCAATTCCGGGAAATTCTTAGTTATAAAGGGGCAAGGGACTTCTTAGTTATAAAGGTAGCACTGTGCTATAAATTGTACATTTATTTCATGCGACATATGAGGAGTATGTAGAGTTAGTATGCAAATAAGAGTGCGCGTATTTGTGTGTAGTTCAATGCAAGTTTTTATTACACAAATCAGAGATCCCTTAATGGAAAAGACAAATGCTTTATTCTGTTAAGGCTCTCCGTGTAATTATCACGATTAAGTTATAAAGCGTTACAAGCATTCATATTGATTATTTACTGAGTTTTTTTTTAAATTTATTTTATTTTTTTATTCTATTTTTAATTAATGCAATTTTTTGCACATATTGTCTTTTTTCAGAATCGACCACAAATTAACAACAAATTATTTATATCCATTTGTCCATTACGAATTAATCAATGAGTAGTCATTGATTATAGTATATAATACGCATTGGAAAAACAACGCGTTGAACCGATCGGTATCGCTTGTATTATAAAAAATATTTTAAAAAGACGTCGCTCGCATGCTATATGTATAGTTCAGAAATTTATACCGAAAATAAACCGGAAAACAAAATCTCAGGAATATCATCATTATGCACTATTTACCTATTTCTTTTGGAAACGTAACGAAAAACGAACTAAGAAGATATTACAATTGAAAAATAATTGTTAACGAATTCAGTCAATAACACTCCTAAGAAGGCTATTAATACATATATAAACATATATACGTATATATAAATATATAAATATATATATATATATATGTATATATATATATATACGTCTATATATGTGTATATATATGCATATATATATGTATATATAGATATATAGACATAAAAATCTTACACAAAGTGGTAGATTAAAAAAAAAAAACATAAATAAATAAAAATTAATACATATATATCTATATATACATATATATACATATATATATATATATATATATATATATATATATATATATATTACTACTAAGAATATATATATATATAAAAGAAATTAAATTTCGGAAACCAGATGTTGCCTGAAAAATCAATGTGGGCTTATCTAAATCACTTCGTTATGAGCAACATCTCATATTTGTGTAAGTTGCTTAGCAGTTTTGGTATCTTATGAGATATGAGATTTTTTATGCATTTTTTCTCTTTTTCTTCCCTTTTTGTTTCTTTTTTTTTTTTTTGTTTAACTTTACTTTCCGGTTGTTGATAGTTGATGAAATCGATGGATATTTGTATTATTTGGGTGGCACTGTCGGTGCCATAACCATAGCTGGTATAGCAGCTGCATCAGCGTATTATTTTATGACACGTCCAATACCAGAAAAACCGCTAGTGCCTCTGGAAAATCAATCACCCATACTAGAAGTAAGTATATATATATATATATGTATATATATGGATGTGTATATATAAGAAATTTTATTTATTTCCAATAATATTAAAATGATAAAAATCTTTTTCTGCCTACTTATCGCTTCCCTAAAGAATTGATTTCAAATTTATCAAATTCAATAAAAATTGAAAAAGCACATGTACAAGTTCATCATATTATCGGGAAATATTTTATGATGAATTTTGAATCGAATTGAATGGTAGATCGAGTGATCTTTTTAATTTCTATAGGCAGAGATTTGTGACCTCACAGAATACCTATTTAGGTACAGTCTTGTTTGGGGCACAATTATATATTAGTACGATGCAAGTACATTTCTCATTTAAAATGGCATTTAAAACTTCATATAAAGATATCAGTGCATCTGTTTCATTGGTAGGTGTTTGAGTTTCATAAATTTATAAGAAGATAGTATGGGAATTTGGTAAATCTGCTTACGTGCGAGTACACTTTATAAAAAATGAAAAATTTTGCAACTCTTGTGTAATTAGCCTTGAAACGGATTAAGTCTAATAATTTTCTTTTTTTTCATACAAGGCATTTTGTTTGTAGTAAATATTTGTATCAAATTCTTTTGGATGTTTTTTTTTTTTTTTTTGTTTTAAGTTGAGAAGGAGCGGGTGGTTATATCTAGAGTCTTACGTTACTGAAATTTAGACATACCCCATTAGAGAATGTCTAATAGGCGATGTATCCTTTGTGTTTACAAACGGAATTATAAATGTATTAAGCCCTTGTATTGTTTCACTCGGTGGACTTTTTTGAGTTTGCACTGCGAATATATACTATTATATATATATATTATTATAGTATCGAGTCTTTCAAATATATTTCTGGACGCAGTTTTAAACGCCGCAATCCCATATTTAATATATCATACGAAAAGGGGTTAAAAATATGTTATCATTAAATGTGAAATAAATGCATTGTATAGTTGTTTTCGATGCCGTTGTTTTTGCTCTTTCTTGTAGGAGGTGACTATCTGTAACTGCGGGTACATTATTATCTGTAAATAATATGCTAATCAAATGAATAAGAAATAACAATGTTTATATGCCTCGGCATGTATAAATTTTTTGTTCTTTTTGCATGCAATTTTTGTATAAAAAAGATGTATTATTAACGCAGATATCGGTCAGACGCTTAAGTCAATTGTCTCTGTTTAATCCGTATGATTTTTTGTTTATGAATCTTTTAAAAATCATTTATTATAAAATTGTATTCAATTTTTGCGGCTGCGAACAATCCGGTTGCCATAATTACAAGTTTATTCAATTATCTATTTCGTTTGCCTATATATACATATTAGAATAGAATAGAGTAGAATTTCATTACAATTAAAACTATTGATTGATTGATAAAGATCAACTTTTTAAATCTGCAAAGACCGTGAGACTTTTACATAAAGACAGAAAAGGCAAAAATAAAAAGAAAACAGAATGAATTATGAATGAATTTTTGTTATTGTTTGACTCTTTTTTTTTTTTGTATTTTTTGGATGCAGTGCAGATCAGTTTTTCTATAGGTACACAGTCAAAAATTAATTTCTATTATTTTATTAAAAAGTTTTTATTTCTTTTTTTGTCATTTTTTTTTTTTAAATTTTTTAGCTAAAAAAAATTTTTTTTTAAATTTTATATAAATTAATTTTAAGTGATTTAATTAGCAATACAATAACAACAACAAATATTTATATATATATTACATACATATTTATGCATACAAATTTCCCATTTTTTTAATTTGAGCACCGTACAATTGCGGTACACTTGCGAACACATAGATCTTATTTTCAAAATTAATGTGTTTGGGAAATTACTGCCGCGTGAATAATTCTTAAGGTATTCTCCCATCTTGTCTGAGACGACTATTTCTCTTATATATTACAAAAAAAAAAAAAGAAGAAAGTTATCCCAAATGCTTAAAAAAAATGTATTATTTAACACATGACATGCATGCGTGGTACACTATGAAAAGTTAAACATTTAAAATAATTTAATACGTTTAAAGTGAAGCCTATACTTTCTGACAATTTTCATTGTAGCTTTAAGGAAACTTTGATGTATAAAACTTATTACTTCGTTTGTGACGTCAACAAGAAAAACGCATCGCAGACCCTTTTAACATTTACATCCAACTCTTTTTTCTTGCACGGCTAATATGTTCCTCAGAAAATTGTGTAAAAAATACATGCAACATATCGTAAATTTGGGAATATATATATATATATATATTCCCCAATTTCAAAAAAATTGTACGAGATGAAAAACTTTAAATATATTTTCTCCAAATCTGTGCAAAAAAAGTAATAATAAAGTAATCCATACTACACATTTATGAAACGAAGACAATTCATTTTTATTACCGAAAACTACAAAAATTTGAATTGAAAGTAGGAATAAAAATCAATTTCATCGTAACTTGATAACAGGCGTGCACCATGGCCTAGACCATCAACAAATGAACATCAACTTTTAGAAATTTATGGTAATTATTGATGATAGTACGAACTGAACAAACTAACACAAAAAGAATAATGAGTAACGCCGAACGAAATGCTGATTTCAGCTTGAAGTATAACGAGATAAAGGAAAGTGTGATCATAAAATTCGGGTATTTTTCATAATAAATGATATATATATCACTCATAAAGTCAAAAAATTTGAATTAAAAAAGATTTTTTTTTGAAATTCGTGTTAGAACAAAGATGTTTTGTAAAAAAATGTATTACTCGTCGTTATTTGTTAACCGTGTTATTTTAAAATCGGGTAAAATAATTGCGTGTAAAAAGAAATTTGGACAAATACGATACTCTTGGCAAGTATCATATTTGATATATTCATGCCTGTCTGCTGTTTATCTATTTACTTTGTTTATATTTGTCCCTGCGTCAAGTCATCAATTTGTTTTGGGAACTCATAAAATAAAATAAAATAAAATTGTAAATGTCTTATCATGAAGTTACGTTTAAATCAAATTAAGAATGGATAATAATTCATTCATAAATCTGCCGACCAATTGCGACGAGCAAAAAGCATTTGGTGGAGGTTATGGTTGTTCACAAAAACACTTCCATCGCAAACATTGCCGTCTTTGTTTTGCTTGCAAATGAAATTCATACATTGTTAGGTTGTTAGTTGAAAAAAAAAAGTTAACAACATGCAATTTAAACAAACAAGCAAACATTTTCATTCACTTTCGTGCTACAAACTTCAAAATATTACGAAGTGTAGATGCCAATTAGAAATTTTTTTTTTCGAAAACATTTTATTAGTCATCATGTTACATGACAAGAATTTTAATAAAAAAAAATATCGATAATATTAAAGTGCTTTTGAGCAATTAACTATTTTTACAAGTTGATGTATGGCGTATGAAATAATCTTGAAAGCAGTGTAGAAGCATTTCGAATAGTTTTGGGGAATAATTAAAAGTAGAATTGAAAATTCAAATGATATTTTTAAAGGTTTGACTGTTACTAGCAGATACTTTCTTAAATAGTTGAATTGCTTGATACATGACAAGTACGCTACCTAGTATTTTGATATTGTTCCTAAATTAGGTTTTTCGATTCACACACACAATTTGCAAGAATCGATCAAAATGAAGTTCTTTCCTCGAAAAAGTCATGACATTTTTGTAGGCCAAATAATTATTTATTTGATCGGATTTGAATCTTGCTAACCGATAATCGAGTTGTCTGTAAAATTCGTTGTATTCAGTAGCTTTCCGTTTTTTTTTCTTTTTTTTTTTTTTCCTTAAAAATCTCATTTTTGGCTAATTGCCTTTAAAAGTTTCTCAAAAATTAAAAAGAAAAAAAAAAAAAAACAAAAAAGAAAAAGAATTTTCATTGCACTCAATGGTCGCAACAGATCTTTAGCCACAGTACGACTGAAGACGTCTAGCGCGGTGCGATTTAATTCATAAACATATATATCTTATATGTATTTATTTATTTTAGCTTCTCACCAAGTTGAATGCGTTTATTTATTTTCATTTTTATTTTTGTTAAGTTTGTTTGTTATTCTAAAGAAAGTTCAATTTTAATTAAAAAGTTTATATAATAAAAAGTTTTTAACTTCATGTGCAAAAGCGAAAGAAATCCGCATCAAAACATATATGAAAGAATCTGAAGATCTAAAAATATCTTTAAAAAAAAGTTTTAGATTCCTTCATACATAACTTTAATAAAATCAAAATTTTTAAGAAAAAAATTAACAAAAATACAAATAAAAACAAATAAATAAAAAATGTGTCATTACGTAAAACAATAAGAAGCAGTGAAATCTTTTTATTTTTATTTATTTTTATTTATTTTTCTTTTTTGTTTTTGTGCACGTAATTAATCGCTATGTTTATAATCGAAATGTGTCAACTGACAACCACTTGAATTATAACCAATGGAAAAAACTGAACAAAAAAAAACAAAAAATAAATAAATAAATAAAAACAACAATAAAAATATGATTACTAAATAATTAAAGCGTTCCAAGTAATTAGGAAAAGAAAATAAAAATAAATAAAAGAAAAAAGTAAAAAATTCATTTAAAACAAACAACAAAAACAAAATATATTAAACCCATATCAAGTTCCTATCAAAAAATTATTCTCAAAACAAAAATTGGATTTCTAGTTTTTTTACTTATTTATTTATTTATTTTTTTTTTTTATATTAACCGTTGCGAGTGAGGTGAATATTGAAAGATGTTTTAACAAAAAGAGAAAAGTCCTTAGAGTACGTAAGTTCCTAATCATTCGGAATCGATTTTATGACTCATATCTATTTATTTGCGTTTCCGGTCTTAATTCACATGAAATTTAAGCCGAATTGCACTAAGGAAGCTAAGGATAAATAATGAAGTAGCGTGACTCTAAAATAAGTGAGAAATTATTTCAATCAAGTTTTTATGCGACACATTCGCAATTGCCAATCGACGATCTTTCGATAGAATCCATCTATTCTATCAACGGG